AGTTTCCTATTCTTGTAATGAGGAGTCACACTTGTGGTTGTGGTAATTTTTCAGGGGGGAGCTTCATCAGGTAGCTGTTGAAAAGTGGCCGGTGGTAAGTGATGACATCAGACAACAGATGGCTAGAATGGCAGCCGCAGCAGCCTGGGGACTGGGTAAGGCTGTGGTAAATACTTGATAGGGGAGGGTAGGAAGGCGCCGTATTCAAAACTAAATTTGTTGTCCACACAGGTAACTGGGACAGTATGGAGGAATATACCTGTATGATTCCCCGTGAGACACAAGAAGGAGCTTTCTACAGAGCGGCTCTTGCTCTTCATCAAAACCATTTCCAACAAGCACAAGGAGTAAGTAGCAACCCTCAACAGTTAATTATTTAGAATTGTGTAGTGATAAATATCTTAATGGGCGCCGCTGGTTTGTGTGTTTGTAAAAATAATAACTGTCCGCTTAAATTCTCTCTCGCTCAAAATGGCGGTTCATAATCAGTGAAAATCCTTTTTAACGCCACCTTTTACTCATGACTTTGATGTTGAAAATACTTCTATGGGAATTTATTGGTTCTTTACTGCATGATAACAAGTTTTAATTTTTAAACGTGTGATGTTTTGTTCTTCATCAGTGTATTGACTCAGCACGTGATGTGTTAGACACGGAGTTAACAGCCCGAGCTGGCGAGAGCTACAACCGAGCTTATGGGGTACGGTGCTCATATAAATACTTTTTGTGACAGTCTCATTTTTGTTTTATTTCTCCCCGCGTAGACGTTGAAGAAATCACATTTAAAAATTGCTCAATTCCGCAGGGTGATTGCAGTTTGTAGTCTGATAAATTTACAAATAGAGTGTTAAAGTTGATTGCAGCCAATAAGCAAGATAGTTTGTAGGTGTATAGTTGTTTAAAGCCACTTTCGTGTGATTGTCAATGCAGGCTATGGTGAGCGTACAGATGTTATCAGAGCTTGAAGAAATTATCCAGTTTAAGTTAGTCCCAGAGAGGAGAGAAGCCATTAAAAGAACTTGGTGGAACAGGCTGCAGGTAAGTATCTAGTGCTGTTACTTTACATCCCGATTATCCATGGCATACTAAACGGTGGCACTGGGGATGTGGGGGGTTGGGGTGGGTAATTCCATCCGTACATCCTAGTGATTCAATGAACAAGTTGTACTGGTTTTTTTTATGTGTCTTCTGATGGACGAAGGAGTTATGCTGAGTCTTATTTTTTTTTCCTGAACAGGGATGCCAGCGAGTAGTAGAAGACTGGCAAAAGATTCTAAAAGTCCGCTCCTTAGTCCTCTCCCCACAGGAGGACATGAAATCATGGCTGAAGTACTCTAGTTTATGCCGAAAGAGCGGCCGACTTGCGCTTAGTCACAAGACTCTGGTCATGCTGCTTGGAACAGATCCATCGAAACAAGTTGACCAACCTTTACCAACCACCTACCCACAAGTCACGTTTGCTTACATGAAGCACATGTGGAGAGAGAATAAACAGGTTGGACAGTTTCTAGTGAAGCGAAGTTCATAATATTTGAACTTATTGCAATGAAACAGTGTACGCCGTAAATTTGAATGGGAAAACTATTGTTTTGTTGCAGGATGACGCTTTCAAACATCTTCAGTATTTTGTGCAAAACACGCTGCACCAGCAGGCGTTGTCGTCACTGTCACCTACTGATGATGGACAGAAGAGAGAGGAGCTCCTCAAACTTGTTGCCAGGTAACTTATGCTCCTCAGTTGTGTCCTTTTCTTAAGCGACTGATAAATAATGAACTTTTTAACGTGCACAGGTGTTACCTGAAGCTTGGTGACTGGCAAACAGCTCTTGAGGGATACAGCGAGAAATCTATTCCTCAAATACTTCAGTATTATGCTGCAGCTACAGAAAATGACAGAAACTGTTACAAGGTACATTTGGAATTTTTTTGTTAAAAATGGATTGGCAACGGCAAATTTCTTAGTAATGCCTCACTAGTAAAAACGAATCCAGTACAAACGACATTGAGTGTTTGAGCCGTGATCCACATTTACGGAGACTTCTCGCCTTACGTTTTGTTTCTTACTAACATCTTCAGGCATGGCACGCATGGGCTTACATGAACTTTGAAACAGTGTTGTACTACAAAAGTCAACAGTCAGGAACTGATGGCCCTAATAATGGAAACGCTTCCAAAAATCCTCCGCCGATGTCGACCTCATCTGTAAGTACATTCTTAAGTTCAATTGAAAAGGGAAATGGTTTAAGAGTTGCGCTAAGCTGGGACTTTCCAGACCTTTTTATCAAATGAAGTTGTTTGTTTTTACATGGTGTACATTATCCATTCTAGGTAGCTAACCCAGTGATCACATACGCGGTGCCTGCAGTGAACGGTTTCTTTAAGTCAATTGCTCTGTCCAGCGGCAATTCCCTTCAAGATACCCTCAGGTAAGTGTCCGGTGCCTTTTTCAACACGGCGGTCAAACGGCAATTCATGCGCGAACGTTGTAAAGACAAGGTGGCGTGCATTCAGGCTGCCGGAACCAAGTTTTCACGCACGAGTTACAAACAACCAAACAAGTAAATAGTTCACGGTGTTATAGAAGCGTTTAAAGTTTTTTTAAAGCTTAAAAGAGAACGTTAAATCAATAGGATGCTCTTACTTGAATAAGTTTAGTGTTCGAGAGTCTCGAGTTTTCTTTTTCTTTTCTTTAACAGATTTCTATGAACGTTTTAATTATAATTTGTTAATTTTGAAAGACAGCAGTTGTTTGTTATAGTTTGATTTGAAATTTTGCGCGGGAAATGGGTGCACGGCCTTCAGAATTGATGCCCGCGTTTGGCCGCTGTTCTGCTTCTGGAGCTAAGGAGAGTTAGCGAGCCAGCACCAGGACACTTATGTGACAGTTGCATGAAGCCTTTTTGGGTGCTTCTGATGGAATGCACGGACCTTAAAGTACCATGGTCATATATGCTGAACATAATCTATTACATTTACTTTACACATTTGATTTTTTCGTTCGGTCTTCAATTTTCAATCATTAAGTGCGACTAACCTTTAAAAGCCTGGAATGTAGAGGTAGGAAGTGGCACTAATCAATACTGATACGTCTGTTTTCTTCGTGCCTTACTTTATCAGATTGTTGACACTGTGGTTTGATTATGGTCACTGGCCTGAGGTTTACGAAGCTCTCGTGGAGGGAATTAAAACAATTCAGATTGACACATGGCTTCAGGTACGGATTTAAATCTGGACAGGAGTCAGTTTTGGTTCTGTAAAAAAGTGCTTTGAGCATCGATAATGTTCATGTTTTATTCTTTAATCTCTTTAATTTCCTCAACTCTGCATTACTATCATTCTTATTGTGTACTCGTTTTCTTAGGTCATTCCGCAACTGATCGCCAGGATTGATACTCCTCGCCAACTTGTTGGACGACTTATTCATCAGCTGCTCACAGATATTGGAAAACATCATCCACAGGTTTAGTCAGCTTCTACTGTAGTCATTCATCCTAAAGAACAAAAATGCATGAAGTGCTGTTCTTTTTG